TAGGCTTGAATTGTTACAAATGATATCAGAGCCAGATACCGAGAAATGTGCCAACGAGGACACTAGTCCTAAGTGAGTGTTTTGTGATATCCTACATCAGTTGGAGAGATTAATAAAATATTTTTCAAAAGGGCGTGGAAATCTCTCCTTAGTAGACTAGTTTTTAAATTGTGAAGCTGACGACAATACGTAACAGGTCAAAGCGGACAATATTTACTGGTAGTGGGCCTGGACTATTACAATGGTGAGATCCCACCTCGTTTGGAGAGAGGAACAAAAACTCTTATAAGGATGGAAACTTCTTCTTTATAGACATGTTTTAAAATCGTGAGCATGATGGTACTAACCAAACCAGGGAGTCATACAAATGACTGGTGTCCATGTTCTTGGTGTTTACTACTTTGAACATGACGCTGCCGGGCTGCGTGCAGCTGGAATTATATATATCGTTGGGCTTCTTTGTTATTTGCCTAACATGGGTCAGGCCCACAGATATCAGTGCTTTCGGCCCAATCTACTTGTGCGTGCGGTGGTCCGTATTATTTGGGCTACTCATTATTTCAGTTTCACTATATGCATCCTAAACTATATATCATCATATTTAACCTATAAACTCATTTCTTTTCAAGTTTGGTACGTAATAGCCTCGACATAATCACGTTACTTATTCCGTGCTTCTACGAATGAAGACTATTTCTAGAAAGTCATTCCACGTAAAATTGCTCATAGTAAAACACGCTTAAGTTTGAAGTTCTTATTATCGAATCGACAAAAAGGAAAGTGTGCCATGAGATCCCACGTTGGTTGGAAAAGAAAACGAATCATTCTTGATAAGGGTATGGAAACTTCTCCCTAGTTAACACATTTTAAAACCGTGAGACTGACGGCGATATGTAACGAGCCAAAACGGACAATATATGCTAACGTTGAGTTGTCACTAAGTAGTGTGCCAGCGAGGACGCTAGCCAACAAGGGGGATGGATTGTGAGATCCCATTAGTTTGGAGAGACAAACAAAACATTCCTTATAAAAGTGTGGAAACCTCTCCCTAACAAACACATTTTAAAACTGTGAGGCTAACACCGATACGTAACGAGCCAAGCAAATAATATCTACTAGCAGTGGGTGTGGACTGTTACATGTGCTTTGTTAGCATACATAATAACTTTCAATTATTTGAAATCTTTTATAGTTATCATATCTTTCATATATCACTCTCGTAACTCTCTTCTATTTCATGTGGGTACCCGATAAAAATAGAAATGGATTGTGCTTTAAGGAGAAACAATCCAGAAAGAACAGCTAAAGTGAGGCCCTCCATGTAATCTCTTGCACGTAAAGCACTTTCTTCCTCCATGTCTTTGATGACTCACGTTGTCCTTCTCCGAATGTAATGGAAAATTATTGGCGTCTCAACAACTAAAATAACCTCCATTATCCAAACAAATGATTCTGCTCCTAATCGCCACTGCCCCTCCATTCCACACCACTCCCAATCACTCCTCCATCCAGCCCTTTATAAAGACGTCCCCCCAGACATCATTAGTAACCTCGAAAGCCATAAAGTTTTCAAGGATGGACCAGCTCCAGAATTGCTTCCAACCCGACATCCTAGGTTTCATATCACTTTCTTTTCTTTTGGGTCATCCCTATTCCTTTTCTTTATTATTGCTTTTGTCATCATTCACCATCCACCTACTTGGGTAACCTTTTCTTCTGTTCTTAGGCTTGCCTCATATCTCACTTTTGCCACCACCCACTGGGTCTCCTCATAATGCTCATGCAAAACTGGTTCGTAATACCTTTTTTATTTGCTTCATAAACCTTATAAATATACCAATTATTAGGACGGAGGAGTCCAGTTGATCATAGGTTTATAAGTAAAGAATACACGGGAAAGTTTATTCTCAAATGGACAATATCGTATCATTGTGGAGAGTGTGGCTGGGTGTGCATTATTATTTTTAACCAGAATTCAATCATTTATTTTATAATTTAACCAGCTTGATAATTTTAATACAATGATTTAATGAAATGGGTAATGAATTTAATTTTGGTAGATTAAAGTGGGGGAGAAGGGTTTAAATCATGCAATTTCAGAGGAAGAGATGAAGATCCGGCGAGAAATTGAGAGAGAGATAGAGAGAGATTTAGAGGAAGAGATTAAGGGAGGGATATACCAGCAGGCTCTCCGGCTGCGCCGCCTTTATCAGCACCGTATAAAATCTGGCGATATTAACCCGCCGGTTAAAACCAAGAAGGAGCTTTTGGAGGTGAATATCAGCATCAAAATGGAAGGAGGGACCAAGATGGAAATCAAGGATCCGCCGCCGCCGGTGAGTTTCCGCCGGAGGACAGCTCGGTCCGATACCGCTTCTCGAACAGTACCGGAGGTGAAAAGGTTGGATTGGGTGAAGTCTCTCCGGTCGAGTGCAGCCCCGCCGGTTGTCGGGAAAAACGTTGGGTTTTATCGCAATAAAATGCCGCCGGTGCCAACTCATTATCAACCTAATTATTCGTTTAAAAGATTTTGAAAATATCTAATATTTAAAAAATTTAAAACTAATCTATTTTGGTTTCATTTGTTGTTCGGTGTGTAACGTTGAGGTGTCGTGTTTGTTTATGTATTTATTATTATTATATGGAAATAATGGATAATATTTGTATTAAAAAACTTTTAATTAATGAGTAGTTAGAAGTTAATTTATTGTTTCCAATATTTTTAATATTGAAAAGTAACACTTGGGCCTCCAAATTATGGGGAAAATTAAATAAAATATTTAGCTATGGTTTAAAGAGGGTCTACAAAGGAAGCTATAAAGAAATGAAGATAAATAATGATTGGGCCTACTCCGACATATATAAAAAGGCCCAAATTGAATGAGTAGGCCCATGGTGATGATCAAGAAAGCTCTAATCTGCCCTCTGGCCGATCTTACAGGTCTGCCTGCCCCCACACCCACTTTTTGATTTATTTATTTTATTTAAAAGGGAAAATAAAACAGAAAAGGAATGAAAGCCCAGATTGGGCGAGGTCAGGCAATCTATTCAAATGGGGCAGGCAAAGATTGCCCCAATTTTGGGACACTGAAACGTCCTAATCAATCCACCTTAGAACAATCCTCTCACGCACCTAATTTTAAACACATCGTCGTACTATTTTTAAAACATGTTTGTTAGGAGGATGTTTTCACACTTTTATAAGAAATGTTTCGTTCTCACTCTCTCCAACCGATGTGGGATCTCACATAAGCAAACACTATTGTGTTTTTTTTGAGTATTATCGAGAGAAGTAGTTACATATTAGCTAATTAAGAAGAAAATTATAGATTTATAAGTAAGGAATATTGTATCGTGCCTTTTGGAGAAACAAAAAGTAAACCCACTAGAGTTTACGCTCAAATTGGACTATATGATAGCATTGTGAAGGTTCGTGATTCTTACCCCCATTCATTTATGACAAGAAAAAGGACAAAAGGATCGATGTCTTGTTTTTTTCGGATGAAGAACTTAGAAAAGGCTGAAACAACCCGTCACTTCTCATATGGCTGAAATGATCCGTGGCTGCTTTATGGGTATGATTATATATTAACAAACGAAACTACACTCTCCATCACCATATTCATAGACTTTGACTTTGACTTTGACTTTGACCGGGCATAAATATTTCCTCTCTCCCCCATTGCTTTCTTGCTCGCAGGTTTTGGTTGGCCATTAAAAATGGACCACATTTTCAACATGCTCCTTTGTTTGGATAAAACACCAACCCCCTGTCTAAGTACCTTTTTTACTCCAAAAACCACAAAAAAACAACCTTGTTTCCTTAATTGCTTCTACGTTTGAATCAACAAATTTGAACAAACAAATAATGCTTCAAATGTTGTAATTAATGCACCAAAAATCGCTCAGAGGCTTATTCATCTAATACTTATAAAATATATGATGATCCATAAGCCAAAATTAAAATTTTTAATCCTATTGGGGTGGTTTTTTGTCATTTCAATTTACTCTCTTTCCTATCCACGCTAACAAATATTGTCAGTTTTGACCCGATATGTATTACTGTCAAGCCTCACAGTTTTAAAACGTATATGCTACACTCTTATAAGAGATATTACAATCCACCCTCTTGGAGACTAAGCGTCCTCGTTAGCACACAGCTCGTTGTCTAGCCCTAATATCATTTATAACAGCACTAGCCCACCACTAGCAAATATTATCCACTTTGGCCCGTTAAATATCGCTGATGCATCTTACTAGGGAGAAGTTTCTAGACTCTTATGATGAATATTTCACTACTCTCCTCAACCGACGTGGGATCTCACATGAACATATTCTTCCAATTTTATAAGAATTTTAAGGGTAAATGTGTAATGAAAAAGGATTGTTGAAGAAAAGAAGTGAACTCACGATGGAGGAAGAAACCAAAAGATTGTATGGAAGGATGAAGTATGAGAAGGAGAGACAAAAGAGATGGCGAAAAACCAAAGAATTTTAAGAGAAAAGATTCAAAAAAAAATGTCGCAGCTAGGAGTGCCCACATGTTCCCTTAGAGAACAGATGAAAACGAAAAGTGTTCGAGACCAAAACATTGGATCTGTCGACCAATAATATCCAACACATCACAAAAACAACCCCATATGTTTTTTTTTTTTAATCCCAAAACCCACAAAATAATTAACATTAATGAGGTAGACAAAGAAATTAACGTAACAGCATAATATTGAGTAGAGAAGTGGGAGATGGATGATACCCATGGCGGCCATGCCTAGCTTCTTCAAGGAAGGATATAAATGGCAACAACAAAGGCCGTTTCAAGAGCTTTCTTGAACAGGGAAGGATCAAACACGTTGGTGTTAGTCCCAAATCCCGTTCTGTTTTCTTTTCTTAGATTCCACGAAAGAGAAAAAGTGATTTAAGTCAACTTTTTGAAGGCTAAAAAAAGGTTTAATTAATTAATAATAGAGAAATGAAGAATTAGGGCATACTAATAATTAATATAAATTAAACCTACAAATAATAATAATAATTGGATATATTAGATATCCATATTCCAATTAATTAACACGACCCAGAAAACAAAGAAGAATGTAGAGAATTGGGGATGAAAATGATGGAACCCTAAATTCAAAAATCAAGATAAAACTTTTTTTTTTTTTTTTTTTTTTTTGGATTGGTTTGATTCTAGGGTTTCTTACCAAGAGTGTTCTTGTTATTATGCATCCACACTTTAAGCACGTGCCGCTTCACTCCGGTCTCGTTACAGAACTGCTGCACCAACGCCTCATCGTGTTTTTGGATCCTCCACCCCAATGTCTCCGCCAGTCCCAGCATTCTGTCCTTCTGTTCTTGTGTGAACTTTGTTCTAAATCTCTTCCTCCCTAAGCTGCTACTCCCTCCCCCGCCACCGCTCGGATTCGACATGTCCTCCTGCTCCTCCCTGCTCAGGGTGCCACCACCACCGCCACCGGAGGTGGAGGGGAGAGCTAGAGGTCTGTGGTGTGGTGCCACGTGGAGGTACCCAGTTGGGGTTCGGTAGTAAGGAGAGAACTGACTCGGGTGTGGCAATAGAAATGGCTCTGCGATTCCAAGTCCAACACCAACCGCGGTGGCGTTGAGGTTATCCGTCTCCTTGCGGTGGAAGTTGCGGTGGCAGTTGCAGGCGGCGCATTTAAGAGCGTCGAGAGTTCCTTCAGCTCCAGCTGCTAGAAATTCGCCGCAGCCGTCAAGGGCGTGACCTCCAATGCCAACCGCGTGATTTTTTAAGCACTCTCTGTACTTGGGTTTCCTCTGTCCACTTGGGTCCGTACTGGTTGGGGTTTTGACTCGCCCACCTGAGTTACCCTGCAAAGGGTCGTAACTCGCTGCCGCCGCCGCCGCCGCCATCTCCATGTCGTCGTCGTGGTCATCTTGATCTTCGAAATCCATGGCGGAATCGGAGGCGAAAAAATTGAAATTGGAAAAGGGGGAATTGAGAAAAAGACGGTGAGAAGAAGTTTAAGGGAGATTTGAGAGAAGAAGATAAGAGGAGTGAGAGAATGTGGCCATCAATTTTCCACTCTGCAAAAAAAAAAGCTGTCCTTCATCACAGGCCTTCATATACTTTGCCGTTTCTTAATCCCACTCCCTACCAAATAAATCTCCCGCCCCCCAAGTTTTAAATTACTGCGCAGTAAAAAGGTAAAAAAAAGATCAAAAAGATTACAAAGAAGGGTGAATTTCTAATTTACGAGAAGAGAGAGTGAGTGAGGGCCACGCGCTGTAACTCAAAACGGACTGACGTGAGGTGAGGTGGGTTAATTTCAGAAAGACAGTGGCCGGAGCGTGGGGTGGCGCGTGGGTGTAATGGTGTGAAACAAATGTGAAGATTCAGTGTGGGTGTTTGTAGACAAGGACACGGAATTACGTAGGAAAAAATAAATTGTCGGCATTTAAAGCAGCTGCCTACGTGTGATCATCTCCGACATGGGTGACGCGCTCTTGGCGTCAACAAGCATTAAATACGACCGTGTCCCTAATCCAGGGTTTGAGCTAAGGGGATGGATAACCTCTGGTTTTGTTTTTTAGCACACCTTCTCTTAGTGGCGCGTCTAAACTACGCGCTTCCTTGGACAGAAAAATGGTGGTGGTGGTGTGGAGTGTTGTAGAAGTGTCACAATCTTACCAACCAAAGCCACTCACTTTGCTGTCTTACAAAGGAAATACATTTTAATTCTTAATTAAATCCCACGAACGGCACTTTTTTTTTTCTAATTATTTTCGTAAATATCATAATCGTATTAGTACCAAATCAAATAATTTTTATATTAATTTCATTATTTAATTTATTTCAACTTATATTTTGGTTTCATCCGATCCTACCTCGATTGGAGGAGTAACGAAACATTCATTATAAGGATGTAAAAACCTTTCTTAGTAGATGTGTTTTAAAACCATAAGACTAACGGTGATACATAACAGTCCAAAGCAGACATTATTTGTTATGAGTAAGCTTGTACGGTTGTAAAGAGTATGAGAGACAGACACCAGGTGGTGTGTCAGTGAGGATGCTAACCTCCAAGGAAGTGGATTATGAGATCTCACATCTGTTGGTAGGGGAACAAAATATTCCTAAGGGTATAAAAACCTCTCTCTAATAGATGCGTGTTTAACACCGTAAAACTGACAATGATACGTAATAGACAAAAACAGACAATATCTTTTCGATTCTATTTAGTATTAGCAACTCCATTAAATCATAACCCTATCCACGTTTCCTGAAAAGGGGATCAAATTCAAACACGACAGATTTACTTGGAACAAGATACAAATAAAACAAGTTACCAAACATCACTGAAATTAAGATTCAAATTACGACAAACTCATCAAACTTTAATGCACCTTAAAGCTAAGGGCAGGAAGAACAGTGTGAAACAGTTACCAACTGCTTAGATAAACGAAACCTAAAAAGAGTGAATAATGAAGGCTAGACATAAAGTTATTGCTTAATTAAGTAAGAAATTGTGATGGGGAATATGATTATAGACTCTAAAGGAAGCAAACATTATGAGTGTGTGTGTGCATGCCACAAAAATAAACTCCCTAATCTCAAACCCTAATGCAATAGGATTTAACCTTGTCTCTTCATTGCCTATGCATGCTGCTCTCAATTCAACATACCACTGTTTTTAACTTGTTTTTGTAGGCTGTCCTTTTGTCTGGTTCTTCGCCTTTGATTCTCTATTTATGGCGTCCAATCCTTACTGCTTCACTCACTCTCTTACCCTTTCGGCTCTAGAGTTTTGTTGGGCCTTGTCGTCACCATCTCATCTTGTCTGCCCTTCTAATCCTACGGACTCCATTAACAATTTGGTTAGGTTAATGAAGAGGAACCATAGCTCGTGTGTTTCTAAATATAATTAAATTTATGCCGTGTTAGGATTCACAGACTCTTCATAATAGGAGAGCTCCCTTAATCGAGATTTGATTCCTTTAGAGCCATCGAACAAAGGGAATTAGTTAATGTCGGACTTCTCTCCCAACAATCTTTAATAATTCTTTCATCGAACAAAGTACACCATAAAGCCTTCTCTAAGGTAAATGGAGCCATCGAACAGTCTCCCTTAAACTGAAGCTCGGCTCTTCAATGGAGTCGTCGAATAAAATATACCTTTTTTTCGACACTTACTATATATTCGAGACTCACAACTTCTTTATTCGAGACTCACAACTTCTTTATTCGAGACTTTAAAGTTTTATTGACATAACTAAGTAGGACATGACTCAAAAATAATTATGGACCATCATGTGAAACTACACTCTCAACAATCTTGAAAATGAGATGAATAGACAAAGGGACAAGAATTATGTTCTTAAATTTCACCTTTTTGTTTTTGTCTTTTTTTTTTTTTTTTTTTTTCACAGATTATTGTGAGAAAACAAATGAAAATGAGATATAAATAATTAATTAATTTAAGTCGAGTAGGTTAATCTCAGTCGTCCCATTGCAGTGCTGACGCTTATTTGATAACAAAAAGCCAAACCTTTCCCGAGGAAGAGAGAGAAATGAGAGACACACACAAACACACAAACACACACACACACCCTTCCAAATGCTTGAGGTAGAACACCAAAAAACACCCCTAAATTCAATGGAAACACAGACAAAAACAAGAAAAAGATAAAATTCCAAGGCATTCCAGTCTAATCACATCAAAATCATCAATACCCTTCAATTATTTCAACTTAAACACACAAATAATTAGCTTTTGACCCATTTTAAACAAAACCCTTTTCATATTTTAGGAAACCCATGTCAAAAAAACATAACTTTTCTTCTGATTTTGTGTTCTAAACAAATGGGTATTATGATTAGTTGAATTCCAAGGTTTTTTTTTTTTTTTTTTTTGTCTGCCATGTAATTTGTTGTGTGCATGGATTTAATAAGTGGCACGCACGAAACCACCAAAACCCCATTCGATTTTGGTTGCTTCCAGACAATGATTTTTCGTATCTTCTCTGTAACAATGAAAATGTTTGTTTCTTTTATCGCTGTAAGAATTGTTTGGTGCAGTAGAAAGTTACAGTTTTTTTTACTATACAACGAACCAGATTTGATAACTCGGACCAGAAGTTATTGTCGAACATGAGTCAGCTTTCTCGAATCATGGCTGCCTTGCCAATTTTTCTGTACCTATTTTGCATTCCTACTGTGTTCCCATCTCTAGCTGCCTGTATTTCTAGTGTTCATCAAATAATATCAAATTTTTAAGCCAAACCTTCCAAATTTAACCATCTTAAACCTTTAACCTCCTTGTTGGATCACATAAGACTAAATTTATACTAATTTAAAGATTTTGTATTCCAAAAAAGAAATTATTTGTTTCCATATATTTTGGTTTAAAAAGAAAAATGTGTAAGTGGGCGAATGTTGTATCGAAAAGAAATGGAAAAAGTGAGGGAAAAGGAAAGGAGTTGGATGGGTTGAAGTGGAGGAGGAAGGAAAGCAATAATGAGAGGGAGAGGAGGGTTCAAGTTCCGGAGGCATGGCGATTGATGATCCATTAAAAGGGGTAAAGATGAACATGTGACCCTCAAACGCACACCCAAACCAAACCAAACGGGCCGAGGACTCAGACAGACACATCTGACGGGACGTGCAGCTGACATGCAACCAGACCAGACCAGACCAAACCCAACCCAATCCTTAATCATGTCTTTACTGTTTACACACACAAAGGGAAAGAGGGAAAGAAACACAGTCTTTCTCTTTGGCTCACATCACATCATCAACAAAAACATCTCCATCCACCCTCGTCTCTGTTTTGTTTTTTGGTGGGGGATCTGTCAGCTGGCGGGAAACCGCTAAAAAACACGACATTGCATGAGAAAATAACCACGCTTGCTCTTACTTCTCCGCTAAAAATAAAGTTACCATTTTTTTTTTTTTTTTTTTTAAGTGGGAGTAAGAACGGGACGGGGAAATTGAAAACGGGAGAAAAAGAGAGAGAGGGAATTGCGGGAAAAAGGGAGGGTGGATTGTGACAGGACGGGAGAAGGAGTGGGACGACCGTGATTTCCATTTCAATATTCTTTTGCAGCCTTTTCATAAGCAGTGGCCCACAGAGCAGACCACACCAGGCCACACCACAGACCCCCTCAGCTTGCTTCTCGGTCACTAACTCAGCCCCACCTCCTCCCCCTACCTCTGACATTGCCACCATGCGAGACACTGCTTTCGTTGACATTTACTTCAATTCTAATTTACCAGTATAAAATCAAGATGAAGAGGATTAGGTGGGCTTGTCTGGGGAAGATTACAGTATATCAAACTTCAATTATATGCTTCCATATTTGGGGTTGACACCGCCAAGTGCTTCCCCCACTACCATCTACTTTGTGTACCTTAATGGAATAATCATTCCATCCCTCCCCCATCTTCATCATCAAAATTTACATCAAACTCTAACTCTCTAAACTCACTAATAAACTCACTAATGGGCTAACCTTACGGTGGCTAGATATTGTCTTATTTAGATTTTCCCTTTTCGATTTCCGGTCAAGATTTTAAAATAGGTCTATTAGAGAGAGAGGTTTGCACGCCCTTATCAGGAATGTTTTGTTTCCCTCTGTAACCTACGTGAGATCTCACAATTCACCCATTTGGGGATCAACATTCTCACGGGCACACCGCCCACAATCCACCCAAATCAATTCTCCCCTATGGGGATCAGCGTCTTTGTACAATACCTATCTCTGATACTATTTGTAAATGTTGACTGTTAGGGATCTCACACTACACCATTTTGGGATTAATATCCTCGCTGGCATACCACCCGATACCTGGTTTTTTATACCATTTGTCACTATTCGAAAGTAAAAATCTAAAGAGAACAATGTCGGACACTCATTTCTAAATGTTTCAAAAGAACCCATCTAATAAAAATTGAAACTTGATTAGGGTTTCAATATGGTTAGGGTTGCCATTAAGGCCATACACTCATCTTCTTCCAAAAGGACAATTAAAACAATTGAATAATTTCTTCTAGGGACAGAAAGGAGACTAAATACGAACTCATGATTGCTTAAATTGAACAAAAGCAAACACCGACATACATCAATGAAAAGTTGGACAGATAGGTGTTAATAGGAAGCTTATATTACATTAAAACTATAATCATGACAGAATTTCGTTACCAAAATGCAATCATTTAATCATACAATACAATACAATTGCATACTTTTAGATTTGATCAGAGTGTGAGCTGTTAAAGCCTAAAGACATCCATTTTAGGAGAATATTTCAGGACTATTTATGTGATGACATGATTAAAGAAAAAAAAAAAAGAAAATTCCATCGCACCCAAAAAGTGGTGGGCTTGACGAAGATGGGCTTGGGCTCACTCGTCTCGAGAGAACAGGCCCAGAAAAGAAGTAGAACAAGAGGCATCAGACTATGATGAACCCTATCATTCCTTATGTACACTCAATTACACCGACTGTATAGCTCGCAACTCAGGGAACTCCTGCAGGCATTCCACAGCACCATTGTAGTTCAAGAACCCCATGAACCAAAATTCATGGTTGTCACCAGAGATTATCTGTATGTACTTTTCAGCAGGGTTCATTCCGCTTGAGGAAGGATTCACTGCCTTTAGCTGCTGTAATGGGATGATTACCTGTTTTTTTTTTTTTTTTTTTTTTTTTGTCAATAAAGATCAAATATGTTCATAAGCATGTGGGGTTACGAAAGTTTTGATTTTTTTAGAAGCCCAGTACCTTGTAATAGCTCCATTCGGTTTTGCCGTCGGACTTGTATGAAAGGGGATTGTCGCTACAGTATGCAAGCTTGGCGGTAGATACGTATAGTACGCCCATAACAGGTCCGACAGAGGTTGACAAGTAACATGAAAAGGAGCTTTGGAGCTTTTCCTCGGGTGCTGTATCGAAGGTTTGTTGGAAAATGTTGTCGTACCCACCTTCTGCCAATACTTTGGTCACTTGTGCAATTCTTCCCAGTGCTGCGTCCGCAAAACTTGGACTTGTTTTCACTGATTCATGAAAGTATGGCTGAGTTTCAATCATATCATATAACATGGTAGATGTAGTCGTTACGTATTCTTGTCAAACTCATGGTTTTAAAAAGTGTCTTAACGACCTAGATTCACTGCTAATAAATATTATCTTCTTTGGACTTTCCCTTTCGGGCTTCCCCTCAAGGCTTTAAAATGGCAGGGGAAGGTTTCCACACTGTTATGATTGGTGGTTTGTTTTCCTCTCTAATGTGGGACATCAGAACATGTCTGCTAAAGAGAGGTTTCTGCACACTTTATAAGAAATGTTTTTTTATTCTTATTTTCAACCGACGTGAGATCTCACAATCTACCCCTCTTGATGGCGAGTGTTCCTACTAGTACATCGTCTAAGTGTTTGGCTCTGATACTATTTGTAATAGCTCCGAAATAACATAAAAATGGATTCATTAAAAAATCCCACTCAATATTCAAATTGTTTTTTTTTTTAATTTCATAGGAATCAATAAAACATAAGAAATATTTCAATCAGGTGAAATTTCATTCAAATGTAGTAGGTTCAGAATGAAGAGAACTATTGTTGATTTCAGCAAAGTTAAAAGAAAAAAAGAATTTTATTTTTTTTTAGGGTAATTCTAGAATTTTTTTGATTGAATTATGATCCATCCAAAGAGTAAAAAGAATCAAGTCCACTCCTAGTAGATATTATTCTCTTTCGACCCGTTACGTATCGCTTAGCTCAAGCCCACCTCTAGTAATATTATTCTCTTTCAGTCATAGTCATTCTGTATTGCTGTTAGCCTCAGGGTTTTAAAAAAACTAGGAAGAGGTTTTCACATCCTTATAAGTAATGGTTTTGTTCTCTCTCTAACTGATATGGGATCTCAAAATCCACCCCATTCGGAACCTAGCATTCTCACTGGTACTCGTTCCTCTTTCCAATCGATGTGAGATTTTACAATCCACCCCCTTTGGGGCCTAGTGTCGTCACTCGCACACCACCCAGCGTCCACTCCATTCGCGGCCCAGCGTCCTCGCTAGCACACTGCCCAATGTCTAGCTTTGAGACTATTTGTAATAGTTCAAACCCGCTACTAACCGATATTGTCCTCTTTGTGTTTTCTCTTTTAAGTTTCCCCTCAAGGCTTCTAAAACTTAAAGAGAAGTTTTCATATGTTTATAAAAGAAATGTTTTGTTCCCGTTTCTGATTGATCTGGAATCTCACGTCAACAAAAACAAACAAACAAAAATGGTACTAGAAGACCAACCTTTAAACATGACAATTTAATTGGATAATGAAGGGAATAGTTTGTCCTTTTCAGCCGCAATTAGGTAATTAAAACAAAGAGCATAGGAAGAACAGAAAACATACAATGTTGCCACGTGTTGCCAGCAAGATCCTCAGCCTTTTTGGTAGCTTCCCCGACTTGCTTGCCCCATCTCCCAAGCACGGTCCATAAAGAATCCACCGTCTCTGATCAAAACGCATTGAAACATTTACCACAAGGGTGCCACAACCGACACAATCCAAGCAAACACAACCACACATTAAAATACCTTTCACGGAAGTTGAAGAGGAAGGAGGCAAAGAAGCATGCGAATTGGAGGCGTAAGCATTGGAAGCAACAGAAGGAGATTGTGTCACCAAATCGGTGCTCCAATGCACCGACTTCTTGGACCCCGAACACGGCGTTGAAACCGCACCTTGTTCGCTCTGCCTCGGAACCTGGCGCTCTGACTCCATCACCAAATTCCCCCAATTCCCATCCCCCTCCTCTTTTCCATCGGATCTTGGGCTCGTCGAGATCGGACCTTTCTTCTCACCCTCCTCCTGCTTCGCCTTCTCCATTAACACAGCTTTCAGATTCTGTGCTCCTCTATTTTACTCCAACCAAATTACCAAATACAACAAAGCCTAATTGGAGCATGAACGAACACACACACACACCCCCCCCCCCCCCCCCCC